CGTCCTCAGCTTATTCAACTGGGAGATTCATCTCGAACTATGGCCATGAGGGAAGAAGCCTCGCTGGTACCGGCCTCACATCCTATTGATGAAACTTATAACGGCGATGAGTCATTAGAGAGGAAAAGGAGGAGGTTGGAGCTGGGAAAGGGCGTGGCTACAAATGCCGATGGCAGCGGGGCGTCCCGGACGGCCCCAGTACCCGTATTTATGGCCGATGCAATTTTGTCGCATCATCTAATATTGGAGGACCTCGTATCGAGGGTGACGACTCGGGTTCGGATATCGACCCGGAGGACGTCAATGAATTTTTAGGTCGCCATACCCATGTGGAGGTTAGGATGGACGGGTTCGACCGTCATGTGGTAGTCCTGGGGAACTATAACTTGCTGCTGAACAGTAAGCAGGTTGCGTCGGCCCTTGCTCCTCTATGTGTCGCTCCTGAAAGCAAGATGCTTGGAGCGATGAGCGACGTGGAGTTATCTCAGAAGGTCGCTGGTATGGCTTTGCAGGTAGGTTCCATTTCCTTCTCTTTTTGTCGTGAGGTTGGTGCGACAGTTGGCATTCATTTTTTTTCTAACTTATGCCCTTCTCTTTTGTCAGACCCTCGTCCTGGAAGTGGAGAGGGAGCGTCGTGAAAGGAAAAGGATGGGCCTTTATAAGAAGATGTCATCGAAGTATCAGCAGTACTGTGCTAAACATCGGGCGATGTCTGACATCTATCATCAGGATCCCGAGTTTCAGGTGTTTAGCGTGGGGCTTAAGCAGCGAGAGGACCAATTGGAGCGTAGGGTAGAGGAGTTGAGGGAGAGAGACAATGAGCTTGTGAGGGCTATCGCCCGTAATAGCAAACTGGAGGTTTTCCTTAAGGCGAAGGAGGACGAGTTCGAGTTGAGCCAGGGGGTAACGGCTAAGAATGTCGATTTACAGTTGAAGGTGGCCGACTTGACCGCCGGGTTGAACGCTAAGGTAGCGGAGATTGACGTTCTCAAGAGCGAGATGAGCGCACTATTTTGTCAATGGAGGATGCTCATAAGCTGGCAGCCACTATTTCTGAGTCGGTATCCTTGGAGGATTCTCTCCGTATTTCCAGATTGGAACTTACTGCGGAGAGGGAAGCCTCTGGTCGTCAAGTCGCAGGGCTTGAAGGGCATGTTAGGGAGCTAGAGGCGGAGTTGGCCGCATTGTAGGGACAAATGGCTTCGTCGAGGGCGGAGGAGGCAAATCGATGTTCTCAGCCTTCTACGTCTCGTGCCTTAGCTGATCAGGACTCGCCCCATCGCTTGTATGAATTGTGGGTCCATGTGGAGGCTCGGCTTGATGTTTATAAGGCTTTTCACGCTGAGGGAAGGGCTACGGAGGCGGAGATTCAGGCGGTGCACGTTGAAGCGCGTGCAGCTCGTGAGTTATGTGGGTATGAACAGCTCACTCCTGACGGGGAAGGTATCAATTCTGATGACGCGAATCACCTTGCTTCGGATTCGTGGTATGAAGACGCTTACCCCGTTGGGGATGATGCGTAGTCTTGGTTTGTATTTTCTTTTGCTTAGGAATTTTTGGCACGGGCCGTACTAGGGCCTGTTTGTAGAGGGAAATGTAAATGATATTTTGCTGCAATGTAAACTTTACTTTTATCGGTTTATTTGTTTGTCGTTTTCTCTTTTGTTTATTGCATATGATATTGACGCCCTTGGCTATTGGGATGTTATTTCGACTGGCGTCAAAGTAGAATCCCGTCATGGTTTGAACGAGGTCGAACCGATATTTTTGTCGACTGCCTTGGCCATTGGGATACTTCGAATTATCGCCGAAGTAGTATCCCATCGTAGTTCAAACGAGGTCAAGCTCATGTTTTGTCAATGACCTTGGCCATTGGGATGTTGCTTCGAACTGTCATGGAAGTAGTATCCCGTCGTAGTTTGAACGAGGCCGAACTCTTATTTTGTCGATGGCCTTGGCCATTGGGATGTTGCTTCAAACTGTCGTCGAAGTAATATCCCGTCGTAGTTCGAACGAGGTCGAACTCATGTTTTGTCAATGGCCTTGGCCATTGGGATGTTTCTTCAAACTGTCGTCGAAGTAATATCCCGTCGTAGTTCGAACGAGGTCGAACTCATGTTTTGTCAATGGCCTTGGCCATTGGGATGTTTCTTCAAACTGTCGTCGAAGTAGCATCCCGTCCGAACGAGGTCGAGCTCATGTTTTGTCGATGGCTTTGGCCTTTGGGATGTTGCTTCGAACTGTCGTCGAAGTAGTATCCCATCGTAGTTCGAACGGGGTCAAACTCATGTTTTGTCGATGGCCTTGGCCATTGGGATGTTGCTTCAAACTGTCATCGAAGTAGTATCCCGTCGCAATTCGAATGATGTCGAACTCATGTTTTATCGATGGCCTTGGCCATTGGGATATTGCTTCGAACTGTCGTCGAAGTGGTATCCCGTAGTAGTTTGAAAGAGGTCCAACTCATGTTTGGAGATTTGACCGTGTTCCCGTAGGAAGACATCACATGTCGATTAGTGGAGATCTAGTTCTGCACATTCTACAGAGATTAAATTCCGTGCATACAATGGAGATTAGATTCCGTTCATACAATAGAGATTAGATTCCGTTCGTACAATGGAGATTAGATTATCTGTATGTAGTCCCTTTATTACTTTGATCGGAGATCATATCGACGGGTGGAGGTAATGAATAGCGTGTCGCCCCGTAGGGCGTCTCTCTTGCCACCTCGTTAAAAACCTCCCTGGGAAAACTCGATTGGGACAAAACCCGAGTGAGGGAAAAAGAGTACAACTTAAGTGACACCTTTTAGAAGTGGAAATACTTGAGGTGGGCGATGTTCCAGTTGTTTTGGAGCAGTTTTCCCTCCATTGTTTCTAGTTAGAATGCTCCTTTGTTTGCTGCTGCTACAATTTTATACGGTCCGTCCCAGTTTGTTCCTAACTTTCCTTTGTTTGGATCCTTTGATGCCTGCGTTTTGGCCTTGAGGACGTAGTCGCCCACTTTGAGCGATCGCACCTTGGCTTTCTTGTTGTAGTATCTTTCTACTTGCTGCTTCTGGGCTACCATTCTTACGTGGGCCATGTCTCTTTGTTCTTCAATATTATCTAGATCTTGTAGCCTACTTTTTTCGTTATCGGCTCCGTTCTCGTTGGAGTATCTCAAGCTGGGCTCCCTAACCTCGACGGGTATAACTGCATCGGTCTCGTAGACCAGTGAGTATGGCGTTTCTCTAGTGCTGGATTTTGGCGTGGTGCGGTATGCCCATAATACTTCGGGTAGTAGTTCAGGCTATAGCCCTTTAGCTTCTTCGATCTTCTTTTTCAATATGTTCAGTATTACTTTGTTGGAGGACTTGGCTTGGCCATTGACGGCAAGGTGATATGGCGTGGAGAGTATCCGTTTGGTGTGCCACTTTTCGAAGAACTCAGTTGTTCTTTTTCCGATGAATTGAGATCCATTGTCGCAGCTGATTTCCTTAGGGATGCCAAAATGGCATATAATATTTTTCCATATAAAGATGATGACCTCCTGCTCACGTATTTGAGTGTATGCACCTGCTTCCACCCCATGTAGAGAAGTAGTCAGCTAAAACCAAAAGGAAGCGTACCTTACCTCGCCCTACTGGGAGGGGGACGACTATGTCCATTCCCCATTTTATGAATAGCCATGGCGAAGTGACGGAATGGAGGAGTTCTCCTGCCTGATGTATCATAGGGGCATACTTTTGACATTGCTCGCACCTTTGGACATAGTCTGCATCTTGTTTTTCATAGTAGGCCAGTAGTAACAGGCGCGAATGAGACATCGAACGAGGGCGCGATTTCCCGTGTGAGCATAGTAGTGCCCTTCGTGTACTTCCAGTATTCGCCTTGTTTGATGTGCTCCAAGACATTTGGCTAGGGGGACGCCGAACGTTCTCTTGTAGAGATCATGGTTTACTAGGTTGTATCGGGCTGCCTGTACCCGGAGTTTTTTGGCTTCTTTCTTGTCTTGCGGGAGCGATCCATCCTATAAATAGGCTACAAAGCAGTTACGCCAGTCCCAAGTTAGGTTTATAGAACGTACCTCGACGTGGTCTATTGTGGAGTGAAGAAGGGTAACCACATTTTCTTTGTCGATATTCCTGGTGGCCGCAGCTAATTTGGCGAGGCCATCTGCTTCAATATTCTGCGCCCTAGGTATCTGGTCGAGGCGGCATTCATCAAACTCTGGTAGCAGTTTGTGGATTTTCGACCGGTACCTTTGTAGTTTCTGCTCTTTGATTTGGAAAGTCTCGGTAACTTGATTCACAACGAGTTGAGAGTCACAGTGGAGGACGAGTCGTCGGGCGCCGTATTTGAGGGCTAACTTCAAACCTGCAATAACAGCCTCGTACTCGGCCTCGTTGTTAGTCATCTCGGGGAATCGTATGGACTGGCGAATTACTTCACCCATAGAGACCTCGAGGACGAGTCCCGATCCCGAGGCATTGGAGGCTCCATCGGTGTAGAGGACCTAGAGGTCGGTACGTGAGGGAGCATGAAGTGCTTCTGGTTCTGCCTCGGGCAATATCTCCGCGCTGAAATCAGCGATGAAGTCGGCGAGCACCTGCGACTTAATGGCAGTTCGTGGTTGGTATGTCATGTCGTTCTCGCTTAATTCTATGGCCCATTTGTCAAGTCGACCTGATAGTTTGGGTTTGTACAGGATACCTCTCAAGGGGAAGGTCGTTACCACTTTTTATAGGGTGATATTGAAAATATGGTCTAAGCTTGCGAGAAGCTACGACCAGTGCCAGAACTAGCTTTTCAAAGTGAGGGTACCTTGTCTCGACATCTATTAAAGTTTTGCTGATATAGTAAATGGGAGACTGCGTACCTTTAGTTTCGCAGACCAAGACTGCACTTACTACGACTTCAGAAACTGCCAAATACACAAGTAGACATTCACCCGAGTCCGCTTTGACGAGTAGTGGCGGCGAAGACAAATACTCTTTTAGCTTTCTCAAGGCGTCAACACATTCCTCGTTCCATTGTAACCCGTGGTCTTTTCTCAGCACATTGAAGAATTTGTGGCATCTGTTCGAGGATCGTGAAATGAACCTCGACAATGCGGCTATTTAGCTTTTGTGCCTGTTTTTTGCTGGTCAGTACCTTTGGTATTGTATCGATGGCTTTGATTTGATCTGAGTTGACTTCGATTCCCCTTTGTGATATGAGGAAGCCGAGGAATTTTCCTAAGGTTACGCCGCAAGTGCACTTCTCGGGATTTAACTTCATCCCATACTGCCTTAATATTTCGAAGGCTTCTTTCAGATGGCTAATGTGATCCTCCTTCTTTGCCGACATTACCAACATGTCATTAATATAGACCTCCATGGTCTTGCCGAGCTGCTCTTTGAACATCTTGGTAACTAGCCTCTGGTACATGGCCCCTGCATTCTTGAGTCTGAACGACATCACTTTATAGCAAAACGTTACTTGGTGAGTGATGAAAGTTGTCTTTTCTTGATCTTCTTCAGCCATTAGGATTTGATTGTAACCGGAGTAGACGTCTAAGAAGCTCAGCAATTCATGCCCCATTGTCGCATCGATCAGTTAGTCGATATGGGGTAACGGGAAGGAATCCTTTGGGCATGCTTTGCTTAGATTGGTGAAGTCCACACACATTCGCCATTTCCCGTTCTTCTTTTTGACCATGACCGCGTTGGCGACCCATTGGGGGTACTTTGATTCTCTGATGGAACCGTTAGTGAGTAATTTATCCACATCTTCGTTGATTGCTTCATTGATTGCAGCATTGAACTTTCTCCTCATTTGCCATACCGGCAGATAGAGTGGGTCGACATTCAGTTTGTGAGTGGCGATGTCCTTTGGGATTCCTGGCATATCTGAGTGGGAGAAGGCAAACAAATCGGCGTTGTTATTTAAAAATTCACGATACTTACCTGGATCCGAGAGGTTGTGCCCTATGTAAGCCTTTTTTGTGTTGTTAGCGTCATCCAATTGGACGGGGTCAAGATCCTCTATAGTTGCCTTGCAGGCTTCCACGACATCTGGGTCCTTGATGGCCTCTGCTTGTGGGTCGGGTTTAGTTCCCGACATGGCTGATTGTTATGCCTCCACACTTGCTCCTTTCAGTTGTTTGGTGTGCGTGCAATCTTGGGAGATCCGATAGCATTCTTGGACGGTGCGTGGCTCGCCTCGGATACTGAATATTCCCCACGGGGTGGTAAATTTGATCACTTGATAGAAGCTTGAGGGGACGGCTCGCATGACGTGTATCCATGGTCGCCCTATGATGGCGTTATAGGTTGTATCCTGGTTCATGACGTGGAATGTTGTTTCCAGTGTAACTCCTCCTACTAGGACAAGCAGCACTATTTCTCCGGATGTTCGCTCTACTGCATTGTTAAAACCCATTAGTGTTATGCAACGCGGTATTATTTTATCCTCAAGCCTCATTTGCATGAGGACTCGCGGGTGAACAATACACGCGCCGCTTTCGTCGTCTACCATGATTCTTTTTACATCTGTATCAGCGATGCATAAAGTTATAACCAAAGCATTATAGTGAAGGAAAGACAAACCGTCGACATCTGACTTATCGAAGATGATACTGTCTTCTAGGTCATCAGACCATTCGTAGGCGACCGTCCATTTGAGTTTATGCGTGGTGGTGAATTTCACATGGTTGATTACCGTGTCATTGCTACCACCAGTGATCATCTGTATGGTGCATGCTGGCGACGGTGGCTTTGGAGGTCCTTGAGATGGATCGCGTCCTCTAGCGAAGTTGTCCATCCCTTTATTGCTGAGCAGTTCTTTAAGGTACCCCTGGTTCAACATCCTAACTACTTCCTGCTACAGACCTATGCAATCTTCGGTCTTGTGTCCTCTTTCTTGACGGAATTCACAGAGGACGTTTGACCTCCTGGTGCTTGGGTCCGATTTCATTTTTTACGGCCACTGCACCTTCGTGCCTAGCTTCTCCAATGCGTACACTATCTCTGAAGGGGAAACACAAAAGTTATGAGCAGATAACAATGGAGGCATACCTCTTTCGTTTCGAAGGGTTGCGGTGTGTCGTAGCACGACATCCGGATGTCTTAGAGGCAGCGGGTTAGATGTTCGAACATAAGGTTGATGCCTTTCTCGATTGAAACGTGGGGGTTGATCCCTTCTCCCATCATTACATTGATCTCTCCTTGCCTCGGTCTGAACCGACGTTAATCGCTGAATCGGGCCATTCAGATCGTCCTCATCTGCCCTTACCTCGGGGCAATAGGCGTTGTGGATCTCTTCCCATGTGGTGGGGGGTACTTCATGAGTCTGCTGAGCAGTTTTTTGGTTGCCTTTGATCCGTTCCTGTTTAACCCATTTTGAAAGGCTGCTACTGTCATCCCTTCTAACACGTTCGACAGGCTCATCCTTACTCTATTGAATCTAGCCAGGAAGTCCCGAAGTCCCTTGCCCGTTGTTTGCCTGACAGCGAAGATATCATTGACCCTAGCTTCAGCCTTCTTCGCCCCTGCATGAGCGGTGGCGAATTTATCCGACATTTCATCAAATATTGATATTGATCGTGCTGGTAGCTGGGAGTACCACGTCAATGCTCCCCCTGTCAAAGTCTTACCAAACTTTTTTAGCAGCACAGATGGTACATGTTCCTTTGACAAGTCGTTGCCCTTTACTACAGTAACATAATAGATTAGATGATCCTCCGAGTCCGTGGTCTCGTCGTATATTTTCAAGTATGGCGGTATCTTGAAAGTTTTTGGAATAGGATGAGGAGCAGCCCCGTCGCTGTATGGTTGTCGACGAATCGGCCCACATCGCATTTTGGTAATAGCTTAGGGGCGCCTGGTATTTTGTTCAACCCTTTCCTGATGCTCTTTCATTTAATCACGGAGTGTTTTGTTCTCGTTTTCCATCTCTTCCATTTTCTTTAAGATGGCCATGACTACATCGTCATCTGCATCAGTGACATGACGGGTGTTGCTCGTTCGTGTAGTGCTTGGCTCGCTGGTGGTAGCTGCGATTTCTGTTGGTGGTAAGTCTTCGATATTTCCTTGAGGGGTTTTTTCGAGCATGTTGCTCAGAGCGCTTGTCAACCATTCTTCTAGCATCTTTTTGATTGCTGGTGGTGTTTTCCCCACCGTGGACGTTGAGGCTCTCCTTTGGCGCAAGACCGTTAGATCCCCATATGGAGAAGGTGAGATCTCCCCCTCCGGTATAACTCTTGGTGTTGTATTCTCGATGTCTTCTCTACCGTCTTCGTTGAGGGAGTTCAGGAGATTGTTTGAGACATTTACTATCATCTTCAGCCTCGCTTCTTTTTCCGCCATTGTTGGTTTTTATGAGGTTTGAAGAACAGTAATCGTCACTTTCAAGAACCTAGATGAGAACTATGATTTCACCTATAGAAATCCCCATAGACGACACCAAATTGTTTGACTCAAAAGATATTAAAACCTTTTTGAACAAATCAATTAAAGATGAAGGGTTAAATCGTGGATGAGGATAATAAACTCTAGGATGATAGTAATAGAGAGAAGAGAATTGTAAATATCCTTTTTCATTCAAGGTTCGTGAATTTTACAGAGTCTGCCCCTTTTACAAAGCTCTCATTCCTATTATATATTGAGGAATTCCCCTCCCCTAGAAACGACATGCAAAAGATCCTTTTTTAGGAATATTCTCAATGTCCCCTAATATGCTTACTCTACCACCGAGGTCGTATTATTCTTTCTTTTACTACAAGGTCGTACCCTTCTGGGCATCGACTCGCAGGTGCTCGGCCGTCTTTCGCGCTCACTAAAGGTCGTGGTCGGTCAAATTCAAACTCATACAAAAAAATCCTTATTGCTTGGGATAAATTGTGCAGGCCAAAATCAGCAGGTGGGATTAACATGCTAGATGTGCTTACGTAGAATAAAGCTGCAATTGCTAAACTACTTTGGAATGTATACAAGAAAAAATATAAGCTTTGGGTCTAATGGGCACACACATATTACATAAAAGGGAGACAACTTGAGGATGCTAGCATTAAGCAAGCTTCATGGATGATTCAAAAAGTCTTCAAAGCCAAGAAGTATTTGGATGAAGCAGGGTATGATCTAGAAGAGCTTTACACAATGGAAACCTTCTCTATAAAAAAAAATGTATCATGCACTTCAGGATATATTTGAGAAGGTACCTTGGAGGAGAGTCATTTGGAACAATTTTGGTGCACCGAAGTGGATTTTTATATTGAGATTAGCAGCTTGGGAGAGACTATACACAAAGGATAGATTAACAACATGGGAAATATGCATCAACCAAGATTGTTCCTTGTGTTCATCAGAGATTGAGACCACCTCTCATTTATTTTTTAAGTGCCCCTACTCTGCAGCTATATGGGAGAATCTTCTTAAATAGCAAGGCATAAGAAGGTCTACTCTAAGTTGGCAAGATGAGTTTAAATGGATGGCATCCAATTATAAAGGTAAAAATGCCGGTGCACATGTGTTCAGAATGACAGTAGCTGGGAGTGTATATCAAATTTGGAAAGAGAGAAATCAGAGGATCTTTCAAGGTAATTGCAAAAGTACTGAAGCTATTATTCGAATCATCATCCAGGAGATATTCTATAGAGGAAATTCGCAACCTAAGATCATGACACAATTGCAATCCCTTAATTTCTATCATGTTTAGAGTTTTAGTTAGGGAGAAAAGTTATAGGAGATAGAGAGTTCTAATCTGCTAAAACTGTGTTTATAGTATGCAGGTTTTTTTTTTTGATGTAATACTTTCAGTTGGTTAATAAAAATATTTTATTTACCAAAAAAATAAAAAATAAAAATAAAAGAGATAGCGAAGAATCAGTAAATGAAAATGGTGATGATGAGGAAGCTGATATTAAATATCCTGATGAGATTGATCAAGTGCTCGAGCAGCTGGAAGGTGAGGTTTCACCTAGAGGGACTCAGCGTCTTCGCTAATGGTGCAATGATGAGGGAATAACGGAGTATTGGTTAGAAAATGTTGACCTAGTCAATATCAGGAAGGAGAGATTTGCACCTTCTGTATGCAGGATTTCAATTTCAGGAGACGAGAGCAGGGCTGAAAAAAAGTGAAGGACTAAAGAATATAAGAATTAGTCAGTAGTTGCTGTAGTGAATTAGTGTTTATTGTGTAGGAGAAAAGAATGTAAAAACTTGTGAGACATCTTTTACATGTTATGTGTAGATAGGTAGTTCACAGTTCAGCAACTACACACACGGTTTCGAGCCATGTGAATGAAAATCTCTTGGTAGGGAATATTTCCTCCTCGACTTTAGTCCGAGTTAGTCAGGCATTGGGCAAAAGCTGATTCAGAATTTAAACTTTTTGGATTCAGATTGACAACTCATAAGTTTCCTGATTAGGCTGATGTCTAGATGCCAAAGGCCAAAACTTTGGTAAAGCTGATGCCAATTTGTGGCTGTAAAACAACATGACAATAAGTCTGGTAATTGAACAGATTGTATAGGATGCATAAGACAGAGATTTGGTAAAGCTGCTGCCAACTTGTGGATGTAAAACAAGATCACAATTAACATAAAACAGAACTAAGATCCAAATAAAGCTTCCTCACTTCTATCCTTTTCAATATAATATAATATCACTTTATATTCCTTAGATTCTATTACTACTTGAATGCTTTTGTTCTGGTTATTCTATTATTTTGTTGGTATTACTGCTTCTTTGACTTTTTCACTATTGTGTTTCTCTCTTTATTTTGTTGTGATTGATTATGCACGCTTGCTTGAGCTGAGGATTTATCGGAAATAGCATCTCTACTTACACAAGATAGGGGATAAGGTTGCGTACACACTATCTTCCCCAAACTCCACTTGTGAAATTATATTGGGTATGTTATTTTTGTTGTTGACTCATTTAGCACTTTCTCTAATGAGGTGTCTCAACTAGGTGACTATTGAAAACCAGACTATTCAGCAACTGAAGTTTACCATTGGATTTGGAGCATTTATAAGCGAAAAGACCAAAAAAAAAAAAAAAAAAAAAAAAACAGTCTGGTACACTAAGCCCCCGCTATGCACAAGGTCCGGGAAAGGGCCAGACCACAAGGGTCTATTGTAATTCAGCATTACCCTGCATTTCTGCAAGAGGTTGTTCCAACAACTCAAATCCGTAACCTCTTTGTCACATGGCAGTAACTTTACCAGTTACGCTAAGACTTTCCTCCCGAAAAGACAAAAAAAAAAAGTTTTCCTATTGACAAAGAGCAGTACCTTTTCTTACTTATCACATGCTAATACTCAAAAAGGTTTGCAGGAACTCACATTATCAACTAACACCATTAGTATTCCTTCTCTTTGTTATTAATATATGGCATAACTTTTATTTGACTCTTGAATAAATATGATATGATCACGAATTTGCAAATACCGGATACCAGGTGAAAACTCAAAAAAGACAATAAAAGGGAGAAAATTCAATGGAACTGTATTTGGGGTGATTTGCCCGCTATTACTTAATTTATAGTATTGGGATCTATTCTAAGCAGTCCCATAATGACAGAATCAAGTGAAAACTAAGAAACAAATCCACCTGTATAGTACAAAACACATACTATAATATATGGTATATTAGTCACAGCAGCCAGCAAGATTTTCTGGTAAAGTAAACTAAGGAGCCCTGAATATCACAGCAATCTCAGACTCAAACAACTAGTGACAGATTGAAATTGAAATAAGCAACAATAACAATAACCCAGTGAATTCCCAGAAGTGGTGTATGGAGAAAATCCTCGTGCCGAGGGCCTGCTGGAAACACCCTCTGTACATTCACTGCAGGGGTAACTGGTAAGGTCTGTGTACTGTCTACCCTCACCAGACCCCACTTGTGGGACTAGGTTCTGGAAAGATAGTGTGTGCGCAAACCTTACTCTTACCCCGAAAATGTAGAGAGGCTGTTTCCATGAAATTGAAATAAGCGAGTCACAAAAACTTAGAAAATGGGAAGGCTGGAAATTGTGACAGTGGAATCATACATAAGGCAGAGTAAAGCAAGCTCTAGATGGAAGATATTGGCAAGCATATTATGGTTTGATATTCCAAACTTCATATGCATACAATTTTTTGCAATGAACTAAAGAAAGTATTTACAGATAAATAAATAAGAATCAGAAATTGAAAACAAGGTAGTTACTAAGTGAAAAAATTCCACCTAATCTACTCTTCCACCAACTGAGACCACTCGACCAATCTCATCCACTTGAAAATTAGTGTAAAAGTTGTCACGCTTACCCTTTCTTTCTATTAGAGTCAAGCCGATTGGGCGTCTTCATTCAAGGGACAATACAGAAGAAGAACGAAACAAAGTGAGAGGCCGGGGCAAGGAAAGCCAAAGCTTGCAAAACTTAGAATCCCCTTACTGAACTCTGCCAAACTTCAACAAATTGCTGGTCTTTTCTTGTAACAAACATTTTGTTCCCTCCAAAACTGAAGTGTGTTATCTTATTACCACAAANTTTTCTCCTTTAATTAGAGAAAATGAGTTCATAATAAAATATTTTTCAAACTACTTAAGCCAACCGAATATAAAACTATTAAAGAATATTTTCCATTCATACCAAACATACCCTAGAGTTCAAATTTCAATAATAATTAAGTGTACTTGGTAATTAATTTTCCCTAAATTTTAATGGCCGGCCAGATCAGTGTGAAATAGTCGGAGTGGACACAAACGTAAAAATCGTGCTATTTTGTGATATGTTGGATAAAAGTTGGCTAGACTTTTTTCTACATAATAGTGTACTTTCAATTTTCAAACTCTACTCAATTCTTAGTCGTCTAGACTCTAGACATGGCAATTTGACAATGGACTAAGCTATTACTACGAACCTCCAATATGATTATTTTCACCCTCCATCTATGAAAACCTATTACTCCTACTAGTATAGTAATTGGCCGTCAAACTGGTTATCCTCTCAAAATTATTCAGGAGCGACTCTATATTCAAAGTTATGAGTTCGGCATAAGTCAGTAATTTTAACTCATATTAATATGCTTAAATAATTTATACATGACCTAATAATTAAACAAAAAAGTTGTATCCAAGATTCAAAAACTTAAAATTCTGAATCCGCCTTTAAATTTACTTTATAGCACAATAGCACCGTTAGTACGGGTCATTGGGTTTTTCTTGATTTAACTCATATCAAATGTCGTTGTTGCGCACCGTGTAATATACTCATATATGCAGAAGACTCAATCAACGCATTACTTTATGGATTATTCAGTCACTTCTTTCCTAAACTTTTTGTAATATAATTTTGTCAATTTCTTAATGATAATAATACAAGTAGAGGTGGCAATCAGGCAATGGACTGGAGCAAGAACGAGGTCGTTGTTTATAGGGTTAGGGCGAAGAGCATCACTTTCACTATTTAAAAACCCAAGAATTAGCGGCGGATAAATTTTGTAGCTAAACAATAAAATTCGTCATTAATCTTACTTAAAGACGGATTAACGATAAATTATCAAAAAATTCTGTTAGTTACAAGCAATTTTCACATTTTTTCACTTTTTGGAGAAAAATATAGATAATAAAAATGGGAGATTTTCTGCCGACGTTTGGACATGCACCACAGCTTAATTCTTGCACCAACGACCTTTTTTCCTTGCAATAATAACCCCTTTTGCAAGTTGCTATTTTAAAGATCATCATTTATTGTTTGGTTTCTTTTTTTATTATTATTATATTTTATTGACAAGATTACAACCTCAAATTGAAAGAAATGTCATTAATAGAATCTCGTTTATAAACCACCAACAACAAACTTAAAACTACGTAGACGTTGACTTTCTGATTTTATTGTATTTAGAAAAAATTGACTCACACTTTGATACAATGTACACCAAAAACCACATGAGTTTATAACCACGATTAAGTGATACATTGAGATGATTTTATTTATATATTAGTTAGTGATAAAAGTACATATAAAAGACACATATCATGTGTTTAATAGTAATTCAGTATAACATTGAGTGTGGATAAATTTTTTCTATGCCAAATCATGGGATGATAAAGACTCAAAAGTAGCTGAAATATCAAAGTCAACACTTGAAGATGGAATGAAGGTGGAAATTACTACTATTATATTTGTGCAATAGGTACAAGTCAACCATAGAATTCTACCTTATGTTTCACTTAAAGAACCAACCAGAGATGGATCCAAACTTTAAATCTAAGATTTTCAGTATTGAACTCATTATACGGTTAACAATATGGATTTAGGTCTAATATTTATTGAGATTTTATCAGGTTTTTACATATATCCTATAGTCTGTATCGAAAGGTATGGAACCAACTATTAAGATCGGAAATGCAACACATTATATTGTTTAAGATAGGGGTTTTCAAACCGAACCGGAAAACCGCACCAAACCGAAAAATCAAACCAAACCGATTAAAAAAACAGACTAGGTTTGGTTTGACTTGGTTTGGTATTGAGTAAAAAAATCTGAACCAAACCGACATATAAATATATAAATTTTATTTATATTTTTAAGACTTTATAGTGATTTTTCTTTAGAAAATGTAGAAATATTTGGGATCCTTTCATGTATTAACCTTGAAAGCGTAAATTAATGAAAAATTATTGTTAGACGACTAAGAAAATAACTATCATGTGTTACTAAAAAAATTCTCCCATTAGAATATTTTAATAGATCATATATTTGTCAATTTTTTCCATATTTACTAAACATATATTCACTTATCAAAGCTTTATCTATAATTTTAATAAAGTAAGATTGAAATAATAATCATGTAACAAAAAAAATTCGAAAACCCGAAAAACCCGACAAAACCGAACCAATCCAAACTGATATAATTAGTTTGGTTTGGTTTTGATAAAAATCGAACCAACTCGGTCCATGTACACACCCCTAGTTTAAGATGTATCAATCAGCCATCAGGATATAATTATTCCAGATCGCACAAGATGTTTTTGTTGCCATGATCTATATACCCGATATTATCTCTTATTCAAAACAACTTCTGAGAGAGCTTTAGATTGAAACAAATCTTCATACCCAGGCCACATTTTACTATATACACATAGTACCAGGAGTTTGTCCTTGGACAGGGAAAAGAGCGCATTCATGTTAGTTCACATAATTCAAGCATATTCATATTTTGATAAGAGTTTAAGTATTATGCACGGATAAGCATCATTTATAAGTACGTAGTCATATTATATGTAAATTTTTATGATAAACATTAATTGATAACCAAATAAAAAAATTACTATAATATGACAGATCACAATACAAAATCTGTTATGCAATCTGTATTGCTGTAAAATCAATAAAACAATAAACTTTCTGAAAAAACAGAAACAGAAAGTATGTAGAACTAGAATGTCAAAACAAATTCTAAAAACAGTATAGGAATAAATCGAGTACATTGAATACATAGTGTGTCCTTAAGGAAATTATTCCCCTCAAGTACCCGAGGTTCTGGAATATATCCTCCCAGGATAGAACGATTTAACTCATCGGAGTGTTGGTACCAAAAACGCCGATGAACAACGAACCACTCGAAGGCTGTAGAACACATTGAAATTTTTTTTATGTGCAGAAGAAGAAGAAGAAGATTAGAAAATGTCGTAAGTAAAATTATGGGATTGAAGGAATATCTATAGCCAATTTGGCACTGTTTCTGAAAAGGTTGCAAACTTTTCAGAACAGGGAAAGAAAACGGACCGGATCGGACCGGGTCGTAGGTCATGGGTTATTTCGGATTGAATTTTCGTTAATTAATTAAATAATTGAAAAGAATTTTGTCCAAACAAATTAATCAATGTGAAAAGAATTTTGTCCAAGATTAATCAATTAATCTTTGACCGAATCCGAATTCGAGCGAGCGACGACGGCGCTAGGCTTGCCTTCTTCTTAACTCTTTAATAGCTAAAAGATGAGTTTCTCTATATATACACAAAGATTTTCTTTCCTTCTACCAATGAGGGACAAAGTGCATTAGTAAAGTGAACTAATTCAAAATTTCACTTCCCTCCATTTCTTTTCCCACCATTTTCCATTCACACGTATCTATATTATATTAAAAGGAGAGTAGTTTACAATGTGGTTAAGCCAAGTGGCAAGTTAAAATGAAACCACTTGGCAATTTTAAGACAACAAAAAAAATTGATTATAAATGAAAAATTATTTAATGAAAGTAGTAGTCCAAGATTTTCTGTATATTGAATTTCATTCTTTAATAAATCAAAGCCAATTATTTGAGTATTTAAACTAAAAATGTTCTCTTTTTGAGAATCTGTTGGACGTACACAAAGAGGGATGCAACTTTCATTGAGCAAACAAATATATTATAGCTATAGGTATCTTTACTTAAATTTGTGTATAATTCAGTTATGGTAGATATTCTTTTTTGAGAAAGAATCAACTAAAATTTCGTTTTGTATCTTACACATTAATTTTAAGTTGAAATAATAATTTTATATTTAGTACAAGCTTTGTATCTGACCTTATTTGCGAACAATATACATTAATATAGGTATCATATACATTACTATAAGTATTTTTAATTAAATTTTGTGAATAATTTATTCTTTTATAAACTAAAAATGTTCTCTTTTTGAGAATATGTTGGACGTACACAAAGAGGGATGCAAATTTCATTAAGCAAACAAATGTATTATAGCTATATGTATCTTTACTTAAATTTGTATATAATTCAGTTATGGTAGGTATCTTTTTGTGAGAAAGAATCAATTAAAATTTCGTTTTGTATCTTACACACTAATTTTAAGTTGAAATAATAATTCTATATTTAGTACAAGCTTTGTATCTGACCTTATTCGCGAACAATATACATTAATATAGGTATCATATACATTACTATAAGTATTTTAAATTAAATTTTGTGTATAATTATTTCTTTTTTAAACTAAAAATGTTCTCTTTTTGAGAATATGTTGGACGTACACAAAGAGGGATGCAATTTGGATTAAGCAAACAAATATATTATAGCTATAGGTATCTTTACTTAAATTTGTTTATAATTCAATTATGGTAGATATCCTTTTTTGAGAAAAAATCAATTAATTTTTTTTTTGTATCTTACACATTAATTATAAGTTGAAATAATAATTTTCTATTTAGTACAAGCTTTGTATCTGACCTTATTTGCGAACAATATACATTAATATAGGTATCATATACATTACTATAAGTATTTTTAATTAAATTTTGTGTATAATTATTTCTTTTTTAAACTAAAAATGTTCTCTTTTTGAGAATATATTGGATGTACACAAAGAGGGAAGCAATTTTCATTAAGCAAACAAATATATTATAGCTATAGGTATCTTTACTTAAATTTGTTTATAATTCAATTATGGTAGATATCCTTTTTTGAGAAAAAATCAATTAAAATTTCTTTTTTGTATCTTACACATTAATTATAAGTTGAAATAATAATTTTCTATTTAG